CTTTTTTCTTTTTTTTTGAACTCATTATTTCTGAATAAAAATTCAAAAATATAACTAAGGCTTATTTATGCTATTTGTTGATATTTCATCAATCATTTTCACAATCAAACAAAAAAAAAATATATGTAGGACGAATTTTATGAGAAATAATTATTAATAACCTTGCTAAGAGTAAGTTTATTCGTCATATTTTATAGACATCAACAAATTAATCAAGTGGATAACTCTATCACAAGAAGATATCCTAAATTTATGTCATCAATTTTCTCTTTTTTTTAATTCGCTAATTGGAATTGCCACTTTTAAGCTTTACTTTTTCATTAGATTAGTTTCATATTATTCATATATTACCATAAATAGTTTGTGACGGTAAAATTCAAAAAAAAAAATGGATTAAAATTAATAAATCTAATTATTCTACATCAAAAAAAAAAAAAGAATTTATAAAGTACAAAGATTAAAGTTTTACTTGTCTAGAGAGGAACGTTTGCTATGCAAAAAAAAAAAATCACTTCATCGATATGTTACTGTATTGTTTACCTTTCTCTGTGTACTGTTCTTTTTTCAGTGCCATAGTTAAATGTGTAAACAAACTTTTAATAGTATTTACCTTGTTACTTTAGAAGTATACCTATAATCGATGATTCTCACCCTTGCAAAAAAAAAAAAAAAAAAACTGTAATGATTTTATGTTGACATAATTTGAACACTTATAACATTCATACAATATAAATGACATATGACGTATTATATTGTTTTCCATTTTTTCCTTTTTTTTTATTTTTCATTTATTATTTAAATGGATCAATAATTAATTGTCAGCTGTTACATTTTAGTAATTAATGAATGTACAAAGACAAGAATGCAACACTTTTATTAATTAATATTGGTATTAAAATTGGATGAAATTCAAATTAGTTTCAAATACAATAAAATGGTTAATTAATTGACCACAAAAATTAATTCAATTATCTGTAAATTATTATTAATTTGATTCTTTTTTTTTTCAATCAAATATTTTCTTTTTCAAGCAGATTATTGCCATTTTTATTTTTTTTTCTATTCCATTTTTGAGATATTTAATAAAATTACAATAAGAAATGAAACATATTTCACAATTTGAAATGCAATTACGATATTTTAAATCATTCTAATAGTTGTTTACTTTCGTTATTTTATAGGAATAAAATTTCATTCACTATACGATAACATTTTCCTTTTTTGTTTGATAGTATGGAAATTAAAAATTTCATCAATTTTCAAAACATATTGATTATCGATTTTAATTACCTTTTCTTAATTATTCCTTTCTGTCACTTATGCAATAATTGTATAAATAAATGATTTTTCTTTTAAGTTTTTTTTTTTCTTAGCTTTTTTCCCTATTGCTATTATTATTATTATATTATTGAAGAAAATATAGCATAAAAGATTGATATATCCAAAAAAAAAAAAAACGAAAAATTTTCCTCCTTTCATTTTTTTTTTTGACACGAACTTTGGTCTTTTAATTTTTGGAAAATTTTTTTTTTTTGTGTTAAAAAAATTTTCTCTTCAAGATTAATTGAAAAAATTTTTATTTTTCCTCTTTTTTCCAAAACCATTTTCAATAATGACCTATTTTCATGAAATGCTTTAAAAAAAAAAAAAAAGTTTTTGGCATCCTAACACTTTTATCACTTTTCTCTTTTGATCAATTATTTTTATTGCTTCGGATAGAATTACATTGAAAACTTTGTGCAATCTATCATTTTTTATTTTGAAAATATTTGAAAATATGTTTGTTACCGGAAGATTTAATCGTTTAAAAAAATATATTTGTTATCCGGAAGATTTAATTGTTTCAAAAAATATGTTTGTTATCCGGAAGATTTACTCGTTTAAAAAAATAATTTAGTCGTTTAAAAAAATATGTTTGTTATCCGGAAAATTTAATCGTTAAAAAGTTCGCGAACTATCCGGTTATTGAATATGAAAGATTTTCTGCTAATAGCGGAATTAGAAAAAAATTCATTAAAAAGGTTACTGGTTTTTTTCAGAAAATCGAAAGTAAAATCCATATCGATTGGATAACTATTTTGATACTTTTAAATTTTCTGAAAGAATAAATGGTGCTCTAATGGTCAAGTTATCAATAAAATT